TAAGCAATCTAGTGATGAGTTGTTATGGCTAGAAGTGCGTTGGCAAGTCTAGTAAGCATGAATAAGCAATCTAGTGATGAGTTGTTATGGCTAGAAGTGCGTTGGCAAGTCTAGTAAGCATGAATAAGCAATCTAGTGATGAGTTGTTTAGGCTAAAAAAATATGAGTTGGCAAGACTATTGATTACAAGACAAGTCTAGGAAGCATGACCAGGAGTACTAAAAGCATGAGTTGTATAGATTCTCTTATCCATAGAGATGAGTTGTCAAGATTCTCTTATCTTTATTGATGAGGTGTCAAACTCTCAGAGTACAATTTTGAGAGCAAAAAGAACAAGTAGTTAATGCAATGAATTTATCTATTTAAGGGTCACTATTTGTGCATACCAAAAATAAGAAATCTCTCTATATATACATAATTAAGCTTGAAGAAAGGAATCAAAGGAAAAAGTAGGCAAATCAAGGTGAGTACTTATGTGATTTATGAGATACATGCATGTTATATATAAAAGTATCTTACGCAGTACAAGTTATGTTGGCATGCTTGTTTTACATGAAAATATTTTGATACACATATTCAAGATATGCATGATGACATGTTCTAATACAAGTATACACACAAGACATGAAAATCATTTACATGTTATCATATGTGTTACACAAGGCATGAAATTTTTTACATGTTATGTATAACCATAATATCCAACGTAAGGGATACTACAAAAAGGGACGTCTTGCAAACGGACCTTATAGCGTAGCCTTTTATGGACCTGGGGTTAGCAAACCTCAAGACAAGTATGGTATACATGCATGTGGTAAGTGAGATCTCAAAAGAATAGTTTATGCATGATAAAGAATAGTATTTTATGAATGTTTACGCATGATAATAAAGAATATTTTTATACGTGATCAAGAGCTTTAATGAATTATCATTCACAAAATATCATGAAAATTTCTCATTCATGAAACCATAAATACTCACTAAGCTTATAGCTTATATATCTCATGTATGTATCTCAGGAAAGAAGTAAGGAGGATTTGCATAAAGTAGTATGGTTTTAGTCAATAAGCAAGTTTTGTTGTAATACAAGCTATGGTTACGTTTTCGCTAAGTAATTTCTTCTTTGATATAATTTCAAGATATGTTATAAATAAAGTTGAATTTCAAGTTCAGATTCAAGATGTAATAGTTTTATCATGTAAAGTAACGGCACCCAATATATAAGGACGTGGGGCGTTACAACGATCACATCATGTAGAAGCAATCCTTTGATTCGTGACTCACGAGACTCGATAAATAATGAAAGCATATTGTTGTTGAATCCAGGTAATGTCATCAAGTTTATGTGGAAAAAGAAGAAGTAACGACGTACATTCAGCAAGAACTTTAGGATCTCCACCTAGGGGATAGAACTCCAATCCAGCAGTCAAGACAAATTCCTTGAAGTTTGAATGGGTCGCTAGTCTAACACGATGGCCATATTCCTGAAAAAAAAACATAACCATTTATGAATATCATTCACATTCATAAATCTATTAGCATAATATAAGGTAAGGCCAATTACTAATAGTTATCCAAAGAAATAAAGCTAACCATTATCCTGGTGAATGATACCATAAAACCATCTATACGATTTCCGACCAATAACTTATTAAGTTAATCCCCTTGTCATCCCCAATCATATAGAGCTTGACCCCATGCACGCCCCCCCCCCCCCCCAAAAAAAAACATCATATAGTGTCCTGACATCGATTGCGTTCACTTAGAAATTCAATTTTTCACCCAACCATATGAAGGGTTTGTTGTTGGATAGGCTTCACAATTTTTATAAGAAAAAGATCATAGCACTTTTATGCATCATATTCGGCGAATTGCAAAACTATGCTCTATATATGGATATAAAGTGATGCCAATCGGGAGGTTATAACTAGTAAGGTAAGGTTGAACAACAAAAGGTCCTATTTGATTCATAAATTGGTAAGAAGATACAAACTCATTTATAGATATTTGCCTCCATGAAGTAATATGAAAGTACTGCTGCATTCATGACCGGCGGTGAAATTGGATGACAATAGCCTTCAGGTTGGAGGAATTCACCGAGGAAGGAGAAAGTTTTTACTTGCTCAATCTGATTGTCATACTAAGCTCAGTTGAATAAGGTGGTCCGCGGACTAGGCCGACCAACAAACCAATAGAGGTGGTATCAGGGTACGTAAGTGAAACATCAAAATAGTCCATTCGGAACTAAGAATAAATCTGCTAAGAGAGGAAGAAGACAAAAAAAAGCAACTTTGTTCATAATTGAACTCAGAAGAGATGTATCTCCATTTTCACTTGAAAAAACTACTAACCCAAAAGAAACAAGAAATCTCTAGCCTGCGAAAGATCTTTTTATTTTTTTTAGTATCAAGCTGGTCCAGACATTCGAATAGCGAACGAAAGACCAAGCCTTTATGATGCAACATATAATAACGAAAACGAAGATTAAACCCGTTGATTCTACGAATACCCTGAGAAAATCTCTTCTAAGTTGGTTGATTCAATGAATACCGAACCTTAGGCTTCAAAGTGGAATTCACTATGAACTCAAAATTTGGGAAGAAAATGAAAAGTTCTTAAATTTCCAGTCCGACCATCCAAATTACACAAACAGAAGGTAAATATGAAGGCCAAAACAAAAAAGTCCTGAAAAAAAACTATGGGGCGAACATAAAAGCCCAAACGAAAAAAAGGTAAATAGTAGCAAAAAACACAAAAGTGTCCAAAAACATGCTTAAACAACGTTTTTAGGCCTCCAAAATCCCGTAGCAAAAGTTATGGCCGTTTAATCTAGATGCCCCTATTAGCCCGATCATGGGCCTCCAGGAACGATAAAGCCTGGTTCTCCATGCCAAGGCCCGCATCACTTTACCAAAGGGCCATTGGTGCGGTGGTACCCGGTGACTCAACCTTCCTAGAGGTCAAGGTTTCCAACCTCACCAAAGGTGAGGAATCTGTGTGAGTTTCATTTGCCATAAATAAATATTATATACTTCAAAATAAAAGATTCTTTTTTGTTGCAATAAGAAATGCAAGTAAGTATGGAGATTAAGCATGTAGAACTCTTGCCAAAATTAAATAGTTCCTCAGCTGACAAAAAACATAACAAGTTCTGATCCAAGAAACACCGGTTTACGATTTCATATAACGAGAACTTAGGGAACCAAGATGGCAAGATTCTTTTCAAGATCAAAAGATGTGACCATACCAGTTTGGTACATAACTTACACGATATTCAAAACCATTAATAGAAAATGGGAAATGGAAAGAAATGTGCAGGACCTGCAAACGCTTTCCAATTGCCACAAACGGTTGCACATCACCGCGGGTTCCAACAATAAGCATTACTATCTGCAATGGTGGAAAATACCGAGGTTCTGTTGAGTCAAGAGTATCTTCGTTGCATTCGTTTTGAACTTCCCCAGCTCCAGCCCCAGCCCCAGCCCCAGCCCCATAAGCATGAGGCTCAACATCTGCGGGTATATCAAACTCCACAGTTCCATCATCTTTTACAGTAGCAATTCTGTTCAACAATTTGAGCTGCAATGTTTTCAATGTTCAACAGAAATCACAGACATGCATGTGTAGAAGATTGAGCAGCAAAATCAAACAAATATCATAAAGAATAGTATGTACAAATCAATAGATATTATATATAAGGGTCAACTTCAAGAGAAAACCGCAAAAATTTCAAAAATCTGTGGAATACCCTGATAACCATTCATCTGTACGGTATGTACATATGCATACACATAATTTGTCCAGTAGACACAGGTGTATAACATGCACACCTGCATAGAGATCAGGAAACATCTTTGATTACTTACATGCACATGTGCATACTGCACATGTGCATACTGCACAGATGAATGATTATCAGGGTGTTTGGTGTTTTTTTTTGGGGGGGGGGGGTTCCCCAAGACCTCACTCTTATACATAAAACGTCACATGATAAGTACTTCAAATATTATGCTTCAACTGAAATTTGATGCAATGAGCCTGTTGTCTAAAACTAATTCATGTTATCGCAAACTAGCCTAAATGGGCCATTATGCAACCCTTCAGAATTGTAACGAGAAGCACCATCTAGCCTCTAGAACATGATACAAACTAACACTTGAGAAACCTACAAAACCAATTATGAAGCTAAATTCATAATTCTAAATGGTAAGCAAAGCTAATAAGAAACTGGCATGAAGAAACTGCACAATGTCTACAAGTTAAATGTGAAAGCCAAACAATGGGTGTGATGGCAGAGTCTAGTTGAGACATTGTTGAACTAGTATTATTTGAAGGGTGTCATTTGGGCAAAAAGTTGATTACCAGCAACCCCAACCGCACCCACACAGAACCCGCCTTCGAGTACACCAACATTAGGGGGCAATTTTTAGCTCACTCAGTGGCTAAGGCTAGTTGGGGG